GTCCAAGTACGATCAATTATAATGTTATTGTTAGAGCTTTTATCAATGATTAGTGCGAATTATTAGAATTATTTATCGCGTGATTATTCCTGGATGTTTACACTGTCACGTAGTAGCTATAACTCATATCAAGACATTTAAATAATTCGTTAATTATATTTTACAATCTACACAGCAATAATATTATCTAATCTAGAGGTTTACTTTAGTCACTAGACAAAACTATTGATTTTGAAAACATTTAGGTAAATTAAAATACGAATTTGCAACGATCTACTGTGCAAATTCGATCATATTGGCAATAATAACTTTGTTTACGGCGAAATAAATTAGCGGTGGTTTCTTGATACCGTTGTCGGAGAGCCAGGATGTTCTTCGTCGATCTGGGCCTCTCCTTCCGGCGATCTTACCCTGTATTATGAGGTGTAGAAGGTTATACCTCTCTGGATGTCTCATTACATGACCGAAATATTGTAACTTTCGAGTTTTGATTGTTTTTGTTATTTCTGTGCTCTTTTTCATTCGATGTAAAACTATTTCATTTCTTATTCGATCAACCCAAATTATCGCAATACCCGTTGATAAATCCACGTCTCTAATTTTTTCATTAATGTCTCTGTAAGGGTCCAGCTCTCCATACCATACAGCAATGTGGAGAGTATGTGGCAGCATATTAATCTGATTTTAAGGTTTAACCTAATATCTCTATTAATTGGAATTTTCTTTAATCTAAAGAAGGCGGCTCTGGCTTTTTCAATGCGTATTCTTATTTCTTTATTTATATCCCAGTTATAGTTACCCAAGTAGATAATATTGTGGACTCTTTCTAACTCTATTCCATACGCTCTGATGTTCGTTGATTGTAACTCCGTTTTTCTGGCAACCATAAGTTTTGTCTTGTACTAAGTTTTAGCCCATATTCATCACATGCTTCGGTTACTCTGTTTATAAGTCGTTGTAGGTCTTCTTCACTGGAAACAATAAGTACCGTGTCGCCTGCATATCTGAGATTGTTAACATTAATTCCGTTGATTTTAATGCCTGTATCTTCAACTAAGGCTTCTTTGAAAATAAATTCGGAGTAGATATTAAAAAGTATAGGCGACAGAATTCACCATTGTCTCACTCCATGTCGTATTTCCACTGCTTCCGTCATGTTGTGTCCAGCTCGTATGTTTGCACATTGATGCCAATACAAATTTTTGATAATACGCTGGTCTCGGTCATCAATTCCCACTTGTTGCGAGACACCTATAAGTTTGTCATGGTTTACTCGGTCAAAGTCGATAAAACACATATACTGATTGTTCCATATCCCCACATCTTTAAGCCATGACCTGCAAACTAAAGAGTGCTTCTCTGCATAGCTTAGGTGGTGTAGCATCTCTCAATACACATTTATTCCTGTGTCACCACATTCGCGGGTTTTGATCGCTTTTTGTAGAGCCGATATGAAAAGTTTAGGTGACAACGTATCACCTTGTCGGATACCTCTTTGGATTTTTATTTGGTTGCTGTTAGCGTGTAGTTGTATCGAGCTTGTCGCATTTTTATATATATATATATATTACATATTAGCCTCGAATATCGGCTATCAATACGGCTCTCGTTTAGTGCTTCTATAACACTGTCGAGTTCAACTAAGTCGAATGCTTTGTGAAAATCTACGAATGTTAAAACTAAGGGCTTGTTATATTCTATAGATTTTTCGATAAGTTGCCTTATTGTTTGGAGGTGATCGTTGGTTCCAAAGTTTGCTCTAAATCCAGCTTGAATCCAGCTTGTTCTCTACTTTGATATAGGTCTAATTTCTTGTCTAATCTTGTGATGATTACTCTCGTGAAAAGTTTATAAAGATGGTTTAACAGACTGATTGGTCGATAATTTTCCAGATCTGTTCTTTCTCATTTTTTGTGCAGAAAAATTGTTTTGACTCTATTCCATTCAGATGGTATGGATTTCTTTATCAAAAATAGATTAAAGAGATCTTTTATTTTCCTCATTAGAGGTTCACCGTCATTCTTAACAGCCTGGATCACAATTCCATCGTCTCCTGGTGATATATTAAATTTCATTTTATTCATCGCTTGTCTAATTTCACTGAGAGTTATTTCTGACAGGAGTTCAGAGCCTTGATTTAATATTGTTTTAGTTAATGTATCTTTTAGCTGTGTTTGGTTCATCCGTCTGTTTTTATAAAGTTCTCCATAGAAGTCTTCTACTATTGTTAAAAGCTCCTCTCTATTTGTTGTTGTTTCGCCCTTTTTGTTTTTTTAATTTAATGATCTGACTTTTTCCATTATTTAGTTTTCTTCGCAGACTTTTTAGGTCTTTATTATTTTCTATGGTTTGTTCGATCTTTAGTGTATTGTACTTTCTTACTTACTTCTTACTTCTCTCTTTTGCTCTTCATTTGGATCATTTTTGTCTGTAATAAGATTTCTTTGTTTTAAGTTTTTCTTCATTCTTATTTCTGGGACAGTGTTTTCTCATGCTTTCTCCAATGGCTTGCGTAATATGTTGGTTTAGTGCATCTATGTTTTCGTTGAGAGTTGATGTCTGTATTGTTTCTCATTTTGGTTTCGATGTCGTTTTGATATTCTTTAATATCTCTAGGTTGGGTCCATATTGGTGTTGGTTTCGTATTTACTAATTTGTGTCTCTCTTGTTTTGTGCTTATTTTAACTTCTGCTCTTACCATTCTATGGTCGCTACCAATGTTGAATGCATTTGGGACCGTTACGTCTTGAATGATTTCTTTTTTGTTTGTAATTATGAAATCAATTTCGTTTTTTGTTTTATTATCTGGGCTTGCCCAGATCCATCTTCTATGTGGTTTCTTATAAATAAGCTATTCATTTAGACTAGATTATTCTGAAGGAGAAAACCAATTAAGGTCTCTCCTCTTTCATTCCTTCCATTTAGTTCAAATTGTCCAAGTGATGTTTCTTCTGGACATGCTTTGATTCCTGTTTTCGCATTGAAATCACCACATATTATCACGTATTGTGTGGGTACGTCGTTTAGAGCTATTGAGATATCGTCGTAGAATTCTTCGACTTTTTCATCTGAATGGGTGGTTGTTGGTAGGTACATAGACTTGAATTATTTTTATGCTGTATCTTGTATTGAGTTGGAATGTTAAGTAGGCAACTCTGTTCGATATTCCCTTAATAGATGTAATTTTATCGCTATGCTTTATATGTATAAAAAACCCAATACCTCCCTCTTATGTTTCTTTATTACCAATACTGTAGAAAAGATGCCCTGTACTTCGGGTCTTTAGACTTTCACCTTTCCTTCTCACTTCGCTGACTCCTATTATGTCCCATTTGATATTTGACATTTCACTCTCTATCTCTGTAAGTCTTTCTTCTGACGACAGACTTCTCGCATTGTAGGTAGCAATATGCATCAATATGTGTTTTTTGGATTTTGTCGTTTGCGAATTTTTGCTTCCCCCAGAATCCTTAAGGCAGACCTTATGAAGTGTGCGACTTACCATTACTGATCTACCCACCTGGGGTTCATTATTCACGCTTCTTTTAAAATTCGCCATGACAGGGGTAAATTTGGCAATTAAAACACCGCACTTGCCTTGTGTGTTGGTGAGTTTCTAAATCAGCCGCCCAATCTGGGTCAGACGCTGTTTACAGCCGCCCATTCTGGATCAGACGCTACAGGTTTGGTTTGATTCTATAGTAACCCTAAAATCGAGGGTTGCCACTTCTGCCATCCGTACCGTACCGAAGCTCCGCTTCTCTGCTGTGGCTGCCGTTGTGCACTTCATCCATAACCCTGGACAAGGGACCCTAAACAGGTACTAGTTTCCCGGGTCAGGAAACCCCCGGAATCTGTGGAGGGTAGGGATTGATTCAATTTCCCTGATAGGACTATCTTCAAGAGATTAAAGAGTTCCTCCCCGCTACTCGCGAAGGGTAGCTCTACTCACCCCTAAATAAGTAGGTAGTTAGTTACAAAGGTATGGAAAGATTTTACGGAAAGTTTTCTATTGTAATTTTTGAAAGGATTGTTTATTGTTGTAACACGTGTTGAAACAGAAGGAACTTTCATTGTTCATCATTAAATAGATAAAGATAAGATAAGTAATTGATATTTTTCAATGTTGATTCTTTGAGAAATATAAATAAGCCGACTGTTGTTATCTGCATTTCGGTCTTTTGTATTGGTAAAAAGCTAAGTAGGGACAAAATCAGTGCTCATTCCGTCAATTTTTACTGAGTGAGAACATAGTCTATAAAAAAAGTTTTCATAGTAAAATAAAGTTAAAGTAATGAGAAATAATAATGTTGCCTAGTCAATGATTCATTCATTAATTATAACTTTTCTTTTTTAGTGTATATTTATTTTCGCATTGCACTATTTTTCCCCATCGTGGCAATTGCGCTGTGGATCCTAGCACCGTACTTTACTAAAAAAATTAAGAAATTGGAGATTCGCAAGCGCTTACCGTACAACCAAATCCAAGTGTAATTGCTGACGTGGATCTACAAGAGGACCCCGCATTTTAAATATTTTATGAAGTTCTTTAATAATTTAAGGGTTTGTTAAAATTAATTATATATTAATAAAATTGTATTAGCTATAAGTTTAAAGGACTTAAGATAAGTATATAATGTAAATTGAATAACTTGAAATATTGTGAAAATTCCATTCAATGTTTCCAACGCAAGTAAAGTTTTGGATTAGGCCTACATCACAAAAAAATCATCATTCTATATCCAATTATGGGAACTATTACAAATAAACAATGTAAAAATAATTACCAAAACTGTTTTTAAGGACAAGTGAAACAAATAATTAGACATATTACACTTGAACACTTATATGAGTAGTTTCTGTGGCAGCTTCTTCAATTTTTTTCCTTTAATATCTTCAACATTGCTACCTGTTCAGTAGCTGCTCCATTTGATTTTTAATCTTTTGAATTACCATTTGTTACTTCTTTACTTACACAATTTGATTTTTCTATTCCATTGGCTAAGTCACTTTTATTTCCCATCTCAATCACTGTTGAATCTTTATCTTCGGGCTTTTTTATGTTGCCTCAATTTCTTCATCATTTTCAACTACTTTTGGTTCTAACTTTTTAACAACAATATCTACTACTGTTTCTTTTTACTCACCTATAGATTCAGGTTTGGTTTCGGTATCTAAGCTTGGTTTTTTTATTGGTTCGATTTTTTGGAGTTCTTCGGTTTTCATTTTTGATGATTCTACTGTTTACTTATGGTTCACTTTCAACTGTTGCTAAATTTATTTCTTGAGTAGTTATTTTCATTTCTTCTGACCCTACCTTTGTTTTCTCTGTTGCTACTTCAGTTTCTTCGGTTGCAACTTTAGTTTTCCCTGGCACATCTTTGGTCTCCTCTCTGTCGCTACATGTGTTTCTTCTGGTGCTACCTTTGTTTCTTCTGTTGCTAATGGTAACAGAAGAAACCAAAATGGCAATGGAAGAAACCAAATGATCAATGGAAGAACTTATAATGGCAATTTAGTTTCTTCTGTTATTTTGAGTTTCTTGTTAAGCTCAAAATAACATAACCTATTCTTGTTACCTCTGTAAAGGTTTAGATGTTGAAGGTTCGCTAATTAACATACTTTTACTGTCTTGCATTTTTTGTGTGGAAAATAAATCCTTCGTGACATTCTTCAATTTAGTCTTTGTCCTGCGATTAAAAATTATTTTATTCAAAGTTTGTGAAAGAGCAACTTTTTTTTCTTTTAGTTTTCCAATTCTTTCTTTTAGATGCGCTTTTCTTTCCGCTGCATTTTTAGCTGCTCTTCTTGTTTTTTCTTTTCTTCTTGTTTCTTGTAATATTGTTGCCACTGACATGAAGTTGCTACGGCAGGTACCTTATCCTTTATCAATTTACGCTTAGCAATATTTTCCTTAGGTGTAGGCCAAAATAAAAATTTTTTGAACGAAGTTGGAATAGATTTATCCATAAAATTCTTGTCTAAATTCGACCTTGTCTCAGTATTAGAATCTGAATGATTCATGGATGGCGGTGTAACTTGGGTGGTTTCTATTTGTTGAAGATTTTGTTCCAAAGGTGGCGAAAGCTTCTGTGACGAAGATTGACCGGAGGAGAATGGATTATGAAATTTCATTTGTTGAAGGTTTTATCTGATTTTTCTGCTTGTTTCATAATAATTGTTTTGTTAACTTTACTGCTAATATCACCATTAATATTACATATTTTTGCAGGAGCATTTGTCTTACTGGTTATCTCGTCTTATTATGTTAGTGCGTGAAATATCTGCTTTTTCTCTCGTTACGTTTATTGGCGTGTTCTGGTTGTTATCCGGTTGTAAATGTTTATTTACTGGTGCTTGATCATCGTCAATTGTAATGACTGTAGTTGCTTGGTCCGTGGATTTATCTTTGACCAAATTTAAAATTTTTTGAGACTCTTAATACATTCCACATGACTAGTTTTTGGTTATTTACGTAAGAGTTTTCATCAGTTGTAATTTTACTAGTTTTTGACAAAACATCATCTGTTTTATCTGATTTTTCTGTTTGTTTCATAATAATTGTTTAGTTAACTTTACTGCTAATATCACATTTTTTGCATTTGTCTTAGTGGTTATCTCGTCCACATCACATTGTCTGTTTACATCAGTGGCCCCTTCATATTCGTCAAGTTTCGACTTTTGTCTTTGTATAAAATTAAGAATGTGTTTGCCATTGTGGGCTGTGACATTTTTTCCAACAGAAAAAGGCAACTTTGATTTTAGTTTTGGGTTGTGTTGAATATATTTCTTTCGATGTTGGATATAATGTTTCTTTGAAGTCTTTTCATACGGATATTTACTTATTTTTTTATAACCTTCCTCGGTTATATCCTCTAATCTTGATAGCTCTACTACTGGAACTAAACCATTCACTTGTTCTGTATGTTTCTCGGACTGTAGATTGTCTTGAATATTATGTTGTAAGACGCCTTCTGTAAAATCTATTTTAGGTTTTTTGGCAGAACACACATATTTTTAGGAGTACAGATAAAAGTATCAGACAAGTTTTCAAAATTAATCTGCCAGCAATGTATAAACCAATTAGAATGTGTCAGAGAATTGAAGACCTTTTACCAAAAGAACCAGCAGTACCTTCAACAAAAAAATTTCCACCTGAATTTGATAGTGAGAAAAAAAATCAGTAACTTACCATTCTAACAAATATACACAATTGGATGCATCTCCTCTAAGATTAGAAACTACAAATATAGACAAAAAGCAAGATATGAATGCACAACTTGAGTTCCTAAAATGTATAAATATATTTCCATTGAAAACAGCTAGCATTAAAGCTACTATTCCAATTGAACGAAGAAGTAAAAGAAAAAGAACTCCAAAATTTCACCAAGATACTCCAGAGTATTATGTTGGGAACTACGATTGGCTTTTAGAAAGCACACCAAAACTTCTAGAAATTCTTCCAATTTTAAAATCTGCCTCAAAATATGTATGTTCTGCCAAAAAACCTAAAATAGATTTTACAGGGGGCGTTTTACAACATAATATTCAAGACAATCCGAGAAACATATAGAACACTTGAATGGTTTAGTTCCAGTAGTAGAGCTATCAAGATTAGGGGATATCACCGAGGAAGGTTATAAAAAAATAAGTAAATATCTGTTTAAAAATACTTCAAAGAAAAATGATATCGAACATCGAAAGAAAAGTATTCAACACAACTCAAAACTAAAATCAAAGTTGTGTAGGCCATTGCTGTAAACAGACAATGTGATGTGGACGAGATAACCAGTAGCACCATGTAGGCCAAAATATTTTTTTTAAACGGCGTTATGAATGGATATTTCACGCATTAACACAATTCCTGAACAATTTTTAGTACCTGGCAATGACGTTTAGGTAATTGCAATGCAACAACCAAAGAAAAACAATCCGACACGCTGAGTGCTTCAGTTCCAGTACTGTCAAGATTAGGAGATGTTAGCGTTGAAGGTTGTGTTGTACAGAAAGCTGCTGTAAGGATTTACCGGAGGAGAATGGATTATGAAAATTCATTTGTTGAAGGTTTTATCTGATTGTTCTGCTTGTTTTATTAACTTTACTGCTAATATCACAATTAATATCACATATTTTTGCAGGAGCATTTGTCTTACTGGTTATCTCGTCCACATCACATTGTCTGTTTACAGCAGTAGCCTACACAACTTTGATTTTAGTTTTGAGTTGTGTTGAATACTTTTCTTTCGATGTTGGATATAATTTTTGTTTGAAATCTTTTTATACAGATATTTACTTATCTTTTTATAACCTTCCTCGGTTATATCCCCTAATCTTGATAGCTCTACTACTGGAACTAAACCATTCACGTGTTCTATATGTTTCTCGGATTGTCTTGAATATCATGTTGTAAAACGCCCCCTGTAAAATCTATTTTAGGTTTTTTGGCAGAACATACATATTTTGAGGCAGATTTTAAAATTGGAAGAATTTCTAGAAGTTGTGGTGTGCTTTCTAAAAGCCAGTCGTAGTTCCCAACATAATACTCTGGAGTATCTTGGTGAAATTTTGGAGTTCTTTTTCTTTTACTTCTTCGTTTAATTGGAATAGTAGCTTTAATGGTAGCTGTTTTCAATGGAAATATATTTATACATTATACAAATTCAAGTTGTGCATTCATATCTTGCCTTTTGTCTATATTTGTAGTTTCTAATCTTAGAGGAGATACATCCAACTGTGTATATTTGTTAGAATGGTAAGTTACTGATTTTTTTTCTCACTATCAAATTCAGGTGGAAATTTTTTTGTTGAAGGTACTGCTGGTTCTTTTGGTAAAAGGTCTTCAATTCTCTGACACATTCTAATTGGTTTATACATTGCTGGCAGATTAATTTTGAAAACTTGTCTGATACTTTTATCTGTACTCCTAAAAAGATGTGTGTTCTGCCAAAAAACCTAAAATAGATTTTACAAAGGACGTCCTACAACATAATATTCAAGACAATCTACAGTCCGAGAAACATACAGAACAAGTGAATGGTTTAGTTCCAGTAGTAGAGTTATCAAGATTAGGGGATATAACCGAGAAAGATTATAAAAAAATAAGTAAATATCTCTATAAAAAGACTTCAAAAAAAATTATATCCAACATCGAAAGAAAAGTATTGAATACAACTCAAAACTAAAATCATAGTTGCCTTTTTCTGTTGGAAAAAAAGTCACAGCCCACAATGGCAAACACATTCTTAATTTTATACAAAGACAAAAGTCGAAAATTGACGAATATGAAGAGGACACTGCTGTAAACAGACAATGTGATGTAAACGAGGTAACCAATAAGACAAATGTTCCTGCAAAAATGTGATATTAATTGTGATATTAGCAGTAAAATTAAAAAAACAATTATTATGAAACAAGCAGAAAATCAGATAAAACAGATGATGTTGTATGCGAAAACTAGTAAAATTACAACTGATGAAAACTCTTATGTAAATAAGTAAATTCTACAGCTTACCTGTTTCTTAACAGATACCACAAGAAACACTTCCCACACCAGTTTAGCGCCAATTGATCAATATATTTTAAATGTTGTGATTGCAGTTTTCGTCTGACAATTGGCATATTGCTCATAGGTGTAATCCAGCTTTTTACTCTTTTAAGATGCTACAGTTACACAGAATTTAAGTCCCTTAAACACCTTAGTAGGTTAAGATTTAATATTGAGTTTTAAGTGTAAGGGTTATCATATTACGTGTCTCGAAATACCATTTTTTCTTTAGTGTCCCTTTACACATGAATATAGCGTATTCTCAATTTTGTAAGAATTGTATTGAAAACATTTTTTTTTCAACATTAACGGAAATTTTTATAATAAAGAATATGCCTAAAATTATCTGTAGAATTTCTATTGATGCCTTCAAAATTTTATAACATTTTTTTTATTGCCAAAATTTATATTTTACACAAAAATATTTGGGTCATTTTCTAGTCTGTGAGACTTCCCTAACAGAAAAGATATAATGGAAATATGTTGTCATCGTTATGGTAGTACCACAACGATAGTTGTTTAAGAATACGAATACATTCACTCGTGCGTATATGCTATATTTGTGTAACTGAGATTCTGTGGTGTAGAAAGTTAAACACAAATTGTAATTTCTACACCCAAGAATCTCTTCTTAAGTTTATAGTGTTGGGTTTTTATAAATTATATTTACAGTATTTTGTAATGGTTCTTCTTTGCGAGTCCATACTTTTTGTATTTTCTGTAGATTTATTAAATAAAGCATTCAAAAATCACTTTACTTTTATTTCCATAAATCCTAAAGTATATAAATTAGTATAATAGTGTGGTAATACAATTTCTGGATACTAAATAAACAAAAAGGAATTATACCAATAATTATACAGTGTGATGACACTGCACTCTTCCTTGCACCTGTCCGTCCCGTCATTCTTACAATGTTACCAACCTGAGTGCGTTCCGAATATCTACTTATTTACATACATTACATACAGAACGAAAATTCGTAGAAATAAAGACATTGGTAAAGTACTTAAAGAGATTTAAATATAAGGCGATTAAAAACAAACAGTAGAAGTATTTCATGAAGATCTGCCGAAAATATGCGAAAAAATGCAAAAACGACATGTTGTAATATTCAAATATTCATAGGTTTTAAACCACAGACAGTGAATAAAAATCTACTTGCCTTATGGTCTGCAAAATTAAGATATCTAAAGCCAAAGACAAGTAATTAAAAAAATAATATCTGCTTATTCAAGGAAATTGCAAGACCAATCAGCTTCAACTCAAAAAGATAATCATCTTCCACTATTTCGTTATGCCTAAGCCTCTATACTAACTTTGATTTTAGTGTACCTATATAGATATCTTGAAGAAAAAGGGAACTACCACTGTATTTTAAGAATTAATTTGTTACAGTATTATTTTTCTTCTCCCTGTGTTAGCTCGTGTTTCCGTCGCGTATGCCATTATTAGTCTGATGACTATTTGGTAAATTCTGCCTTACATTTCTTTCCCGATATCTTTATTTCTCCATATTAGGTTTGTTCCTACAAAGAATCAGAAACTAGTTCAGGGCAGTTTCTGACTGCTGCACAATACGCATGTGCGAATTTAACCAGCCGCGAACTAGTTTGTGATTTTTGTTGGAACAATATCCTATCGAGCTGGCAAGTTGCCTATATTAAATAAACAAATTTTGTGTTATTTTATTCGCTGTAACAAAGTAAATTGTTTCTTCTTTAAAATGGAAAACAATGAGGAAGGTAAATCTTTATAATTATTATTATCATGCAGTTACCTATAATAAATACTAATTTGTTTTAGATATGGAAGAAATTATTATTTACCATGAAAACCATGTTGAAGATAGTAGTGTTAAAACTGTAGACTATGTGGTCTGGACCACCAATCAGTCTAAAGTATTAATAGATTTATATAAGAAATATAAACCTAAGGTTGGAACTCTCCAAATAAGAAATTTAAAAAAATTATGGGAGATTATAGCCAAGGAAATAAATAAAAATTTACATATAAATGTGTCCCCGTCGCATTGTGAAAATAAATGGCGTGTATTGGAAAGGGGATACAAAAAGTTCGTAGATAATCAGAATAAAACAGGTAGAGGACGAAAATTTTTTGAATTCAAAGATGAAATGGACAGTATATTCAAAAAAAAAACGAAATATTCATCCCGAGATACTTCTATCTGCTACAAAAGTTATTGAAAATGTGTCGTTGACTTCAGATGTAGTTCTAAAGGAGACTGAAACTCAAGAAGTAGAGAATACTGACAGCCCAGTTCCAGTTACCCACACCGCTACATCTGCACCTAATACCAATACAAAGCATCCAATTCTAAATAGAAATAGAATATTGGAAAATATGAGAATAGAGAGAGCAGAATATTATAAGGAAAGGCTCAGTATTGAAAGGGATAAGCTAGTGGTTCATAGAGAAAAACTAGAAGAGATAAAAAGGCGAAATCTATTACTTGAGAAGCAAAACCAATTACTTGAGAAGCAGAACCAACTACTTGAAAAGCAAAACAAACTTAGGGAAAATCCATAAGATTAATTTATATGTATAGTATTGTTTTTCTGAATAAATATTTTGTTACTTTAACTGTAAAAATCATAATAATTAAAAAATAAAGTATTTTAAAATTTTTATTGTTCTAACAAATTTAAAATTTGATTTCGAACTGCAGCACCATTTCTGTCATCAGGTTCATCATCAGGATCATTATTGTCCAACTGTAAATCAGGTGCTGCTTCATTATTGCCTGCAGGATTGTTTTCATATAAAAATTCATCATTTAATGAAATATTATGCAAAACACAACTTGCTCTTATTAAATGTACACAATCAGCTATAGAGCGTAATTTAAGATGGTATAACTGCCTAAATTTTTGTTTGAGGACTCCTATGCAATGCTCTACTAAGTACCGGTTAGCACACAGTTTTGAATTATAATTTATTTGGGCCCTACTTAACTGCCCCCGGTCTCTAAAGGGTGTTAATAAATTGGGCAATACAGGATATCCACTGTCTCCTAATATATAATAATTTCCACATTTTTCTTGTAGTGTCTGAGACAATGGAGAACTGCGGAATACTCGACTATCATGTACAGAGCCCGGGTAACCAATAAATATGTCTCTGATTTGTAATTCATGGTCACATACCAATTGTAACTAAAACATAACATAGAATAAATACATTTTATTACTGTACAGTAAAGAAAATTACCTGAATCGAATAAAATCCTTTTCTATTTATGTAAGAATCTGGATCATCCTTTGGTTTGTCAATCTTGATATGTGTACCATCAATTATCCCAATTACACCTAAGAAACCATTCGTACGAAAGACATTCTCAATTTTAACTTTTTCTTCATCGGTTGGCCATTTTATTATATGACTTGAGCAGTAGCTCAAAAAGTAAGTCACTTTTCGTATCACTCTAGACAAAGAACTTATTGTAATGTTGAAGCGGTCTGCAACATCTCTAAAACTAGCCGTTTGATGGCCTATATACCATAAAAAAATTAAAACTTGTTGCATTGCTGACAATTTACCATATGGTCCTGCATGTATTTTATAGTAGTCACTATTTTGAAACTGTTCAGCTATGGACTCAGTAACATGCCGACTTATTCGAAAATGCTCCTTAAACTCTGTTTCATTGTATTGGGAAACAGTTGTTTCAAAATAGTTTCTATTTTTAGGGCGAATTCTATCTTCCAATACAATTTCTTCCAAGTCATCACTGGAGTCGCTCATAGAGGATAATGACGAATATTCACTGTCACTCATTGTTTTATAAATTATAATATCAAAAGTATAAAACACTAAAATACAATATTATGTATGTACTTAAAACAACAAAATTACCAAAACAAAGGTACCTATTTAAAATTAAAAATAAACAGTGTAGGTGTGAGTAAATCAAAATTCGACTAATTGCGCATGTCTGTGATTACCAGTTTGCAAAAAGTTCGGAAACTTTTCAAACTGTCAGGAACTAATTTCAAACTGGTTTTATATTTCATGGAACAGTGTACTTTGTTGACAAGGTATCAGAGAAAATCTTGTTGGAACGGCGAAATTATTATTGCGCATGCGTCTGACAGTCGGCGACAGTTTGAAACTTCTGTAGGAACAAACCTATTGTTTCATTCAGGCAACCTGCGGCTCTGGTTGTTCTATTCTCTTAATCTTCAACTTTTGTTTAGAGCTTTCCGTAGCTAGATAGTATGATGGCTAGATATTTAAATTCCATCACTTGTGCTTTTATCTAAGCCTTCAGCTCTAATTTACATCTTTCCATTCTAAATAATCACATTTCTAATGTTTCTTATTCTTTCGTACCGTCCCCCGTAAAACGTAATTTCAGTATTATAAGCTTCGGTAGAATAAACCACTACTTGCGACATCTGGTAGGTAGAGGAATTAACACTATACACGTCAGTTACCACATTGTTTACCATTACCATAATATTGTATTTTTATTGCATTTATATTAATCCGAAAAAAAATATTATAACAAATTCCAGTTCTTGAGTCAAGTAAAAAGTACATTGAAAAATCTAGCACAGAAAAAACTGTACTATAATAGTTTCCAATAAAGTATACTTTTGATGATTTAAATTATATTTTATTTAAACATAAATAAATTTTCTGGTTAACTCAAAGAGACAAATATTTACGCGTTATTGTTTTATATAAATAAAAAATTGCAGAATTCATAACATAATATAATCCAAATATACTTTTTAAAAGCTCTCCTGTTATATTCGAAACATTATAAAAACATCCCCACACTGCCAAACCCATATATTTTGTTCCATGGTTTACTTTAGGGGCTATATTCAGCTTGAACTTACGTTAAAGTTAATCATTTTCTATTATGTTTAACGCTAACTTTTCACAAAATAAACATAAAATATTTTATTTTTATGCTTTAAAATGTTGGTCATGATCAACAGCTGCCAGATTGCTACAAATGTTTGCAATTAATCTCGAAAGAGACAAATATTTACTCGTTATTGCCAACGCAATATTTCGTTCTGTGAAACTTAATTGACAGCTAATTTGAGGCTATCTTCAATGGGACCAAATGTGAAAATCGTCCAAATTAAGAATTGCAGAATTCATAAAATAGTATAATCAAAATGTACTTGTTAAAAGCTTTCTCTCTTTATATTTGAAGCATAGTTACATCCCAACACTGCCGGTGCCAGTGTCAAATCCAAATATTTTTCACATTTGCGGCTATCTTCAGCTTGTACTTTCAGTAAACTCAACCGATTGTTTATTCTGTGGTATGATTATGACGTATGACATAGCGGAAGACGCATGTGCCGTGCGTCCCGGAATTTAGATTGAATTAGTACCCATATTTATTATTTATGTAAATATGGTTTTTGTGAGCTTGTTACCGGTTTATGAAAGAAAAATATCTTGTAAAATATTGGTAACACAAATCTGATTTAATATTAGATTATAAGGATGGCTGACAAATTTGAAGAGTTATACCAAAAGTATAATCTCTTATCCAACGCCAAGGAAAACATCACAGAGGTTAAAAATTAAAGGTAAATTTCTAATAAAAATCCTTATATTTTGTATATATTTTAGCTTTCTGATGAATACCTAGAATGTATAGAACATGCCAAAGGTACAGACAAAGAAAAAAAATTGGCGGCACAAATTATTGCCCAGTACTTCAAACATTTTCCACAACATAATGAAAGAGCTTTGAGTGCTGTTTTTGATCTTTGTGAAGATGGAGATCCATCGGTAATATATATTAAATAGTTATTGGTTTTAAGTATAAATATCGCCACTTAGATGGTTCTATAAATTGGGGTTTTCAATAAACATTTTGGGCAATTTTTAAAAGTGTAGGAATACATGGATTAAGGCTAGAAATCCTTGTTATATTATTTCTTTTTTTTTACAGATACGAATAAGTGCCATTATGTTCTTGCCAATGTTATGTAAACATTCTAAAGAAATTGCTACAGTGGTAGCTAATATTTTAGCTCAACTGATGATCCTGTTAGATCAACAACAAGAATTTAATGTTACTTGTAATTCTCTGGATCAGGTGTTCAAAGAATATCCATTAAAAACATTAAAAGCTTTGTTTACTCAGATATATGCAGCTGAACCAACTACAAGGGAAAATGCTGTCAAATACATATACAAAAAAATTATCAAATTAGATGAGAAAATTACAGCTGTATGTACTGACTTACTTATAGAGGAAGGGAAGAAGATATTGCAGGTACTTATGTATTTTTGTTCTATCTCTCTAATTGAGCTACAGCCCAATTTCTCCTCCAGTTATGTCTCTTTCGTATAGGTTCTCACTTCGTCTATCCACATCTTCCTTGGTCTTCCTACTTTCTGACATCCCACTATAGTTCCACTAAACATTGTAGTAGATGTGTATTCTTGTAAAGCTATTTTTGCTCTATCCTATGTTAATATGTGGTTGCTTTCAGGTGTCTACAGTAACAGAGTTTTTAATAATAATTCCTTTTTTTATGAATACAAAATATGCAAGAACGCCAATTGGGCAACAGGAATTGGTCAATTTAATAGCACATAGAGCAGAAATCAACCAAGAGTTTGAAGGCAAAGATAGTTTGATTTGTGATAGACTTATTATATGTACTGACCATGTATTGCCTATTTTCAATGTAAGTTTTTTTACTATACATAAGGTTCCTACTTATATTTTATTAGATATATATTAGATAGATATATATTTTTTCTGATTTTAGGCAACTGTTGAATCAACAGAGTATGTAAAGTTCTATTGTAAACAAATATTGCCAAAATGGGATGTGATCGCTGAATTACAAGATGGTGAAGTGATGCAAACAAAGCTTTTACAACTGCTGGCTGATCTTTCTAATCATTGTGGCAAATTAGATACTCCAACCTCGTATATTGTTCATATATTTGATAAATTAAAGGTAATACTGATACGAAAAACAGAGCACTTGCATTTTTAACATGTTGCCTACCTTAAAGAACTTTTTAATATTTTCTGTTCATAACATAGTCACCTAAACGATATCATAGTTACATTAAAATTCTCAGGCAGGCAACATGTTAATAAAAACTTAAAATTTTAATTGTCTTTTAAACTTTTATTATTATTTATTATTTAGCCTCCTTTACAACACAAAATGAGTTGTATTACATTAAAAGAGTGCTTACTACTGCTAAAAACTAATAACACTATAAAAACTAAACCTAGACAGAATAAAACAAGTAACAAACACTATACACCTAAACTCAATTTTAATATAACAACTTTGCAGACTAGAAATTTGTTTCACAGAAGAATTTAAAAAGTCTATATCACAGATAGTTATCACATGGTTACATTCTTCTAACATCTTATTTATGGGTGAACAATCAGTCTTATTAGTTGAGAACAGTTGTTTGTTATTAATTCTTAGATGTATTTTTGGAACATTAAATTTAATATTATTTATAAAAAAGCAACCTTTATATTTAATGTGATTTACAACATTTATTATCCAGTTTGCTGAACTTTCAAACAAGTTACCATAGCATTATAGGAAATCATGTATGGATAGATACCAAACTTTCTGACATAAAGAAACCTCAAGAATCATTTTTGAATCAGATCAACATTGAATTCGGCTCATATGGTGATGTCCATGTAATAGAGGCATACTCCAAGTGAGGTCTTACCAGTGCATTGTATATTGATGTTAGAGTTTCAAATATTTTAAAAAATTTTGAATTACGAATTATAAAGCCAAGAGTTCTGTCTGTATGCCGATCTAATGATAAGCCAATAATGTTCGCCAAATCCCAAATTTTGTTGAAACATTACTCCAAGATCTTTGCAAGTGTTCTTTCTTCCAAGTACAGTGGTAAACAAACTGTTTTAAGTAATTTCTAATAAAACTTAAGTGCTTATCCAAAAAAAAATAAATAAATAAAAAATACACTATTCTTATCACTTTTAAAAGTGCAAAGGTAACTGTTGGTATTCTATTGTTATTCTTTTGTTTTTGTTGATGTGAGTAAACTGTCAAGTCGAATCAAGTACAAGAACATCGAAGTCAAATCAAAACATATTTTTTTTGTTTTAGCTGTACATGCCTCTTCCGCCAGATGATGAGGATATAAACAAAATTCCAAATCTAAACTTCTCTGCTGTAGAATGTTTACTGTATGCCTTCCACAGATTAGTAAGACAGGTTCCTGAATTTCTGACTTCAGATCCAACTACATTCAATGATTTTAGATCTAGACTGGCTTATTTTTCCCGAGGTGTAGGAGGGTGCAAACGTGCTCTTGAGATAATACATAATAAAGATGATGAAAAAATTAAAATAGCACCTACATTATTGGACAATATTAATACTTTGATCAAAGACTTATTTTATCAGACTCCTACATATAGGTGTAATATTCAGCTTTCCTTTAAACCTGTGAATAGTTCTAAAAAGGTAAATTTACAAAATTTCCTTTTTTAACTTTATTCTAAATTATTACATATTTTAGGAACCTATAAAACTACTAAATATACAAAAAAGATATGCTCCTATAGACTTCAACTCAAATAATGGTAGTCAAACAAGTCATAAGCATATGCGATTAAATAAAAGTTCTGAAAATATGAAATTGTATACACCACCTAGTGGGAAGTTCAGCAATAATTTCCAAAGCTACGGTGAGTACACTTATAATATCCTGGGAATGAAAGTTCTTGTGTGTATCAAAATTCAGCAATTAATGAGAAGTCAGTCAAGCATGACAATATTATTTATTATTCGCTCACCTGACTTGAGGCTATTGATTATGTTCAAAAAATAGGGCTCAAAGGAACTACAATGTTAAAGGAGTTCTATTGTTATCATATATCCAGCCTTTATTCGTATTCTTACTCATATTAGGTTCTAGGACGAGCAAGAGATCTGACAAACAGTAACAGTACATCCAAGATGGTACAAATAATTGTAACTTGAATGTGTTTGCGCGCTCTGAAGAACAAATAAAGGCTAATTAAGGCCCTGGATGTATCAAGCTTTTAAACATATTCTGTATAAGAATTACTCTAATTGCTTTTTAATTACTGAATAACTTAGAAGTATTTGCAGTTGATATTAACCAAAATTACAAATTCCTTACACATTATGGCAGTAATTAGCACTGCAGTGACATAAATATCATTTTAAATTTGGCAATTAGTAGAAATTACCGGAATTATTTTAAACTTTGAAACAAATGTTTATTTAATGCACATTTTATTATACTACTGCTACTAATAAAAGATAAAAGTTGATAAGTTACTATTAGAAACAAATAATTTATAGTATTATGTAAAAATATTAGCAAACGATATTTGTAAATTACATAAAATTGTACGTGAGAACTTGTTGAGAACTCCTGGTTTATTCTGTTTATTTTGAAAGATAGACAATAGACAACGCTATCGCTCACTGCATAAAACTGTCAACGTCTTGGCGAAATTTCCATAAGGTTAGCATTGCATATCTTACTCTGTACAGACTAGTCACTTTGAGACAAAGTATAGTACGTAGTTTTTTTCCTATTTGAGAGTCCATTGTCCATATGAAACAGTAAAACCCCGTTAATGTTGTAGTTCCTTTTTTAAGTACATAATCAATATCCTTTCAATTGTATATTTTAACATAAATCTTTTCCAGATGATATGGGAGGTCGTGGTAGGGGAAGGGGTGGCAAAGGAATGAGAGGAGGTCTGAAGAGAATGAAACCTAGAGGATGGAAAAACTAGGTTCAGGTTAAACTTCCAGGAAGTTATTTTCAATTCTAATAATTAGAACTTGAAGGAAGTGACTTTTTATAGTTATAAAGGCGTTATAAATATTTGTCTCAGATTTAAGTTATTTTTTGGCTTTTTAAACAGAATATTTTGCTTTGAGACGTTTTATTAATATTTTGTTCTGTTCAAGACAATTTTTTTTTTAATAAAAGTAAGATAGAAAGAACTAATTAAGAATTCACAAAATCTTGCTGTTTTATGTGAGATTTATTATGTGTTTGATGTAATAAAATGTGTTTTATGAATTGGTAACTGTGTTTTTATTTTACATATGCTTTTTCGATAATCAGTCTAGGATAAATATGAGAGATTCATTTATCCTCTTTCTCTTTGCATCTATGTGGGGTCTACATGAGTTCCTCTTATATTATATCAATTTTAATACCCTTCACATACAAGTCTTACCTTCTATGCTGGTTATGGTACATATGATACATATATTTATGATTACATATACAAATATATCAACAAATTAGTTGGAAGCATATAACTAATTTATGTACTTGTTGAATAGTGGACAAAGAAAAAGGTTCTTGGAAAAGATTCATCAGTTATATGGTTATAGTCAATGACGTATAATATATAGACTCGGTGAACGCTTTAAAAAGTGTCCAAAACATGAATACCTTTGTTATTGTTTATTGTTTTGATACGAAGATGCACGAAGTTCATGATTTCTTACGAAGCATCACGAAGTTGATCTTGTGTTTGAAAACATCATGGACGTACTCCATTTTGTGTGACAAGCAAATTTTATTTTAAATTGTTGAGAGTTATTTACTTACTATTTTAGTAAAATGCCATACTATTTTATCAAAATAATTATTTCTCTTATAGACGGGAACAAAAAGAAATCATAAATATTTAATTTTAATTAAAAAAATAATTATTGTCATTAACATATACATGAGCACGCCGCTGTTGTGATAAACATACCTTCAACCTTAAGCCGAGATCTTTCGGACACTTGATTCTATAGCGAGAATAGGGGACTGCGTAGTCTATATATTATACGTCATTGGTTATAGTGTTAATATTGTCTGATTTGTTGCCTATATAGGGAAACTGTTGTTACTTACATAGGCAACCAACCATACAATCATTTTACACAAGAAATCTTTCACTCTGGTGAGATCGCCCACCAAAGTGGCGTAGCAAGTAGCACGCGTCTAGCATGTTACTTAAAATGTAACCAATGGAAACGAATCATTCAGCGCACACCAAAATGACAGTGACGTCATTCATTATAATCATTCGTTTCTATTGGTTACATTTTAAGTAACATGCTAGATGCGTGCTACTTGCCACGCCACTTTGGTGGGCCTTCTCACTAACTTGTGTAGCAAACATTTTTATAAAATGTATCAAGAACTGGTTCCAATATTGAAATAAGTTAGTAATAAGAAAAGAGAGTTTATTTAACTACTTAACAAATTCAAATATTGTTTGTAGCAAGTCAAAAACAATACATGGTATATAAAAAAGGGATCTAAAACGTAACTTAAATATATCACAAACAAGAATATATGGACGGCGTTATACATCACTAGACCAATCGCCATTTTCTCAAATTGTGGGAAATGGCATAAACTATCTACATACTAAATCCCATTAGTGTGTTAGTTGGTAATGGTTAATCAGATATATTTAAAAAGACCAAATGCCTTTCTTCTTATGGAATTTGAATTTTGCATCACTCAACCAAGCGACTAATTTTGTGTAGTAGTTTTGCATTAGTAGACCAAGCGCCTCTTGCGAACGTTTCAATGATTGTAAATCGAATATTTGGCAACATACGTACAAAAACGTAAATAAGGAACAGTATGTAAGTACTTAAATCAAAGTCGCGAACCAAGAAAAAAAGTTGTATCCAAAACAAGACTTACTTCACACAGAGAAATGTATAAGGACTAAATAAACATTTAATGACTTCCCAAGATCCCCCTACATGTACATCTTTTTATTTGAGTACCGAGCCCAAGTTTTAGGCGGGACGATTTGCCGATATCGTTCTCGATTTTGCGCGGCATGTAATAATTCATCTGCTGATAAGCCAGTCCATTGACGAAGGTCTCGGAGCCATGAGTATTTCTTTCTACCAATTCCTCTTCTTCCGTCCATCTTTCCGTTGAGTATCAAGTACATTATCCTGTATCTGCTTCCTCTCATTATATGCCCGAGTTATTCGAGTTTTCTATTTTTTATCATCTTTATTAAGTCACCTTCACCTTGACCTACTCTGTTCAAGACTTCTCTGTTTGAAATGTGTTGAACCCATGATATTCTGAGCATACTACGATATAACCACATCTCGATGGCTTCTAATTTGTTCATCATGTTAACCTTCATAATCCAGGTTTCAATCCAAACAGGATAGACATACTTTGTCTGTTGTATTTAAGCTTAGTCCGTTATTAGAGCATTCTCTAGTGACTCGATCTATAAGGAATTGAAGATCTTACAGCCATGATTGCGGTGTCAACCGCATATCTGATGTTATTAATAGTTTCTCCCCCGATTCGAACTCCACTTTGCCCTTCCAAGGCTTTGTTAAAAATTATTTCTGAGTAGACGTTAAACAAAGTTGGGGACAATACACAACCCTGTCTAACACCTCTTTGAATACAAATTTTGTCTGTTTCTTTGCCGTCTACCAGAATAGAAGCTTCTTGATTCCAATATAGATGTTGTAAAAGTCTCAGATCTTTATCATCTATTCGAATCATTTCTAGATATTCAAACAGCCTACCATGTTGAACCCTATCAAACGCCTTTTCAAAATCTATAAAACAGACGTAAATTGGTTTCTGTACTTCCCATGATCGTTGAAGTAGTGTTAGCATTGAGAACAAAGCTTCCCTTTTTCGCAATCCTTCCCTGAAACCGAATTGTTTATTTCCCATTGTGTCTTCACATTTCTGCTTGATTCTGTTAAGAATTATCCTAAGAAGTAGCTTGAGAGAGTGACTCATGAGAGTAATTACTCTAAAAGTCTTTACATGATGATGTATTAGGTTTTTTTTGAAGTTGGATAAATGTAGACTCCAATCATATTTGTAGCAGTGTTCCAGTTTCGTATATTTAGTTATAAATGTTTGTTAGTTCTGAGACATTGTCGTAGTCTAGAAGTTTGAGCCAGTCTGATGGTATTTGGTCAGGGCCCGGAGATTTCCCATTTTTGCTTTGTTTGAGGGCATTCTCTACTGCTTTTAAAAATACTAGGACCAGTGTTCGTATACTTGGCCTCGTATCCAGGAAGAGATCTTTTATGTAGTTGGTCTATTCTTCCTTTTTTTTGTGTACATACATGTTTTTTACATTTTTGTTACATGTACATACTGTGGCGAAACCTACAAAATATTCTCAGTTCGCCAGATCAATTCCAAAAACGTTACTAATTTTCTCTATATACAAAGCTTTACCAGGAATTGTAGAAGAAACGTAGTTTAGAATTTGATAATTAATAATTGTACCAATATTTAATATATTTAATGTATTTCTTTATTGATTGTAATGTAATAAAATTGTACCTGTGTCAGTGACCTACGCTGTCGAGACACGTAAAGCTTAATTAAAAAAAAAATTGTTGTTTGATAACCTTTTCTATCAGTTTTCCCAAAAGTAGAAACAATGCTTATAGGTCTGTTATTGTCAGTTTTTGAGGAATCACCTTTTTTGTAGATAGGTAGTACTTTAGAGTATTTTAGTACTTCTGGAAATACTCCAGCTGATAGAATTAAATTAATAAGATAAATGAAAGGTGTTAAAACTATTTGGTAAGTTTCTTTTAAAATTTTACTATTAATTTCGTGAACATCCCTACAATTAGAATTACTAAGAGACTTTATTATTTGAGAGACCCTGGATGAAAAAAAGGACTTACTGGTAAAAGAATAATTTCTATAATTGAAGAGAACATCGACATTATTAGTGGGAAGATATGTAACAAAATGATTTTCGTCTGGAGGAAAATAAGGTTGTACCGAACTGGATTGTATTCCTTATTTCGAAATTTGCTATTTTCCAGCTGTCTCTAGGTTTATTATTGGAATTAGTAATAAAATTACAGTAAGCTGACTTTTTAGCAATTTTTAATTGCTGATTATATTCAAACTTTTGTTGTTTATATACATTGAACAAATCGGGATCCTTAGTGGCATCTGCAATGCGTTTAATAAGAGAAAGATTAGATATATAAGACCTTAATTCATTATTAAACCATTGCACGGTGGTTTTTCCAGAAGTTTGTCGTACTTTTTTTAGTGAAAAATGCTTTAATATTAAATTGTTATAAGTTTCAGTAACAAAGACTGTCAAAAAATCAGGATCAATATTATCATAGAAAAAGTCCATCTTTGCATAATTTAGCGCACGTTTAAGCTTCTATAAACCAGAAGAAGTTATAAACCGTTGAAATGTTTGATTAGTGTCAACAACTTTATCCTCAGAGTCAATAAATAATAATAGAGCTCGATGGTCAGAAAAGCAAGATTCAAAGCCAAGAAAGGCTTGTGTCTAGATTTCATAGCAGGGCAGCAACGTATGATGTGGGTGTTAAAGATTCGGTGTTACTGTGGTATTGACTGTAGATTTATTTAATTTTATTGCTTTTGTAGTTAAAAGTAACAGAGTGATTAAGATTATTGTTTATATTTTTCCTGGAATGTCCGCAAAATAACAAACTCATATTGTAAAATGTGTTGTCTATATTGTTTCGCCGGAAGCCTAGAGCTCTTGGAAAACTAATTGCTTTTTTATCAGTAATGATAACAAAAACTTGGCAATTGTTTACAAATATTGCAATAATTGCTTGTTGCCTGGAACATATTGCATACAGCAACGAAGAGAATAATACAAATCTGTACACAAATGTTTGTTTATCACTATTTATAATTAAATACTTGAAGAGCTACAGACATTGGTGAATAAGATAGCAGACTGCATCGAAGAATATGGACTATCTTTGAACATAAAGAAAACTAAATTTATGGTAATATCGAAATCAACACAAAATGTCCAACATTTATATTTACACAATGAAATTATCGATCGAGTTAGCAAATACAAATATTTAGGAACTTTTATAAATGAAGACAACGATAGCTCAGCAGAAATCAAAATAAGAATAGAAAAAGCCACATCCATATTCACTAAAATGAAGAGAGTGTTCTGCGGAAGAGATTTGAGCCTTGAAATGAAACTTCGCCTGATGAGATGTTACGTACTTTCTGTGCTGTTCTAC